CTAAACTGTGTTTAATCTATTGTCACACATATCGCGTATTGTTGCCGTTATCTTTCGATTTTTGAGACCTTGTGTATTGAAATTTGAAGTTCAAGTATTTTAGATATTTTTACTTTAGCATTTGTTTATGTCCTCTACATTTTGTTTCATTTGTCTGATGCATAAATGCTTTATTGATTTCATTGCTGGGCAAATTTTCGCTCATTTATGTATTCTTGTACACACATGTTTTGCGTGTGGAAACTCATTTATGCTTACTTTTTATTGGCATTTTACTTTACACTAAGCACTGGGGTCATTTTGGTGGGTTTTGGGTTTACAGGGGGAGGTAGGCGCCTCGTCAGGCTTTGATGCCTTCTGGCCGTTTGCCTAGGCAAATTGTACCTTCCATTTTTTTTTTGCTTTTGCCTGAAATGAACGTCTACGTCTTACTGCCCGTGTTATATCGCGTGCATCACTGTGCCTTGACCCTCTCGGCGGCTTTCCTGGTCGGCAGCGCGTTGCGTTGGTTCCAGCGCTTGTTGAGGGAGGTGAATCGAATGAGCCCTATCTCTTTTTTTATCTTTTCTCTTACCTTTTCCTTCCTATCTCTTTTATTCTCATTACACCATCTCTGTGACGACCTATCGAGGTGTCATCGTAAGGACAGTTACGGGCGACAGTTTTCTCTTCGTTTTCCTTTCAACACTCACTTCGAGAAATCTTCGCTTGTAGCGTGAATTCTCCCCGGTCGTGAGAATGCTGGCAGTGAAGGGATCCGTATTACCTCAAATGTCACGTGAGTGGTTCGTGCCTGACCACGTCCGTCGTTTGAATACAGCTCAATGGACAGAATGGTGTGCGTAGCACTCAAGCGCTGGCAGCTTTGATCGCAATACGGCTCAATGGACAGAATGGTGTGTGTAGCACTCAAGCGCTGGCAGTTTTGATTGCAATATATACGAATAGCCAAAACCCAGAAACGCAGTTGTCTTTGCCCCGACACGAATTACTGAGAAGACTGCAGAGCAACGCATACACACACGGCATACTAATGCATCGATTGCACCCAACATTACATGAATATGTTTGCCCTATTCGCGCCGTACCTGACACGTTGGCCCACCTGATCCTCGGGTGTCCATGCAATACACATATAGACCTATCGCCTCCGCCGATTACCTGTGACGCTGTTAAAGAAAACGAACACCTTCTTGAAACGGGCGAGGCCAAGCTCGTCTAGGAGGATCTGGACCAACGACGTCTCGTCTCCAGGGCCAAGGAGGCAGCGAAGGCCAGAGGGTTCCCAAAATGAGGAGACCGTTCCACCCAAGGTGGACGCGGAATCTACACGGCTACACCATTTTGAAAAATAAACTACCGCAATGACTAAGTGTCCTTCTCTGACACTTAGTCATAGCGGTATCTCCGGCAACGACCTTGCCGATGAAGCAGCAAGAAAGGTACACGTACTAACAAACCCTGTTTCTGTACCTTACTTTATCTAGGATTGACGTGGCTAGATACCTAAGTAAGCTGGCGTAGAACATGACACTCCAGAAGCGGCAGTCATCACAGTTCGCACATCATCGACTGTATTCTCTCGACCCATCTCTACGACTGCGGCTACCCTCTGGTCTTTCTAGGGAGGAAAGTACAGTGTTGTGCCATCTGCGTCAGGGCGTAGCCTTCACCAATGCCTACTCATTTAGGATTGGAATGTCCAACAGCGCGGAGTTTGACTGTGCTGTCGATGACGCTATTGAACACCTCTTATTACTGCCCGGCATACACAAACAAGCGACTCCACCTACGTAGTGTTCTATATCAGCTGGACAGAAGTGATTTCACTGTCGAGAAAGTATTGGAACCACGGCACTGCCCATCCCAATTCGGAAAAAGGCAACGAAAGCGCTGTTGCGTTTTCTCAAAGACACCGGCCTGTTTCATCGTTTGTGATGTCAAACGTGAAACTGTTACGCGTCGGCCCCGTCAGTGACTTTTTTTCTCTTCCTTTATACCTTTCTTTCTCCCTTTCTCCTTCCCTAGTGAAGGGTAGCCTGCCGGCGCACAGCCCTGGTTAACCTGCCCACCCTTCTCCTTATTGTCTTTCTCTCTCAGGGAATTTTTTCACCGCTATACCAACTTTTGCAGTAGATAATCGAATGGGTGGCGTATTGGCGCACTTTTCATGCTTAAAAGCTCAGGGTACCGTTATGCTTTTGACGTGTGCCCTTCTACTATCCATATATGTGAACAATGTATGAAAGAAATATTTCAGTCGCACTTTGTCCTTTTAATAACCATTGTGAGGCCTAAGTGTTTATTCTAATTGTTTCAATCACTTCCTAATATTTTTTAAACTTTGACATGAATCAATAACACTATACTTAACGACTTCCTTGCTGTGTGCTGATGGTGGTGGTGAGTTTCGTCAGGTATTTTGGTTGCGGTGCTCATCAGAGAGCTTAGAACTGCAACAACTAACATTATCTGCACCATGTTAGACATATGCGGCGATGTCCGTCTACGTAACACAATCAGTGCACTCATGTACCAGTATATTGTTTTCTGTGCATTGACGTAAAAAGAGAGCTATATCGTAATACATTCGTTTTTTATTTGCTGTTCTTTCCAGAGTACTGCAGTTATTGTCGAAATGATTGGAAGACGTGTCCTTACTGCAGGCGCACTCGGCCCGCTCGCCGAGATGCTTCGACGCAAGTTGAAATGGGCCCCGAGGTAACGCATGCAGTTTCTTCCTTCCTTCATTAAATCGTGACGGTAAAGTATAATAATATACAAAGCGTTAAGTTAGATTTTCTGAGACGGAATTGTGACATCGCTTCTGCCTTCAGGCCTCAGTCGCACCAAAACGTAGGGGGACGCACCTTTTTATGGAGATTAGGCTTCATGTACTCAAATTAACCGCAGTCACCAAGTGCGGGGCCTTCGGTGGCCACGGCTGTGCCTTATACTGAGGCAGGATTGAGCTGTAGGCTGTTGATTGCCGAAGCGATACATGCCAGTGGCCTGGCCGCCCTTATTTGATGCTAGGTACGCCGCGAATATGCACACGCCAAGTACGCGGGTCAGATATTCAATGAAGCTAAGGCAAATGATTTGTGCCAGATTTAGGAGTGTTTCATGTCATTGAGGGATTTGTCTTTTTCGTAATCCGTCGGCATTTTTGTGAGGATGTCATCACGCCGCCTTATCACAGCCGTTACGTAGCAGTTACGTGCTTAACGAGTGGACTAGAAAACTACATTTTTTGTCCCTCTCCAATAATAATTTAAAGGAGTGTTAGAATGCAGCTGTGCCTCCGGAGGCTGACAGCGATAATTTAACTGCAGATTATCGCCCGTCGCGCAAGGACAGGAGAAATAGACATTTGCCTTCGAGAACGTTCAGCGGGAACGCGCGTACCATCTTGAGCACCGTGCGTGATTGCTGCTCTGTTAAATAAAAAAAAAGTTCAGTTTTGCCTTGCAGTAAAGGAGAAAAGCTCGAAGTTCACGCTCACCCCGTGTGTTCACCGTCAGACAAGCTGCACGCGTGCAGGCACTGAACCGGCCATACGACAAAGACGTACTCTTGCGAAGACACACTCTTGCGGACCCCGCAGACTACAACCGTCTGGTAAAAGCAGTTGCGGTTGAAAGTACTAGAAGTACACTGTAGTTGCGGTGGCCGCCTGGAAGGCAGTGTTCGCAACCAAGTTTCGAAAAATACTCGCCAAGGTCAAAATTACCCTACAAATTCTGTATTACCCTACGTTTTACCCTGTAGTTATTCCATCATACCAGTTGTGAAATGGCGTTCCAAAATCCGGGCATGCAGTTGGCCCGGTTTTCGAAAGTAAACTGATGTCGCGCCACCTGGGAGTGGCAACGCAAAACACAAATAATGCGTTTCATAGTGGGCCTGCGGATCAACATGTGGCGCGACAATGTGCTGACTCCCGACAAGGGGGGGTGGAGGGAGGGGCAATGACATGTTTGTATTTCGATACATGGAGCATTTGAAGAGTTTCGCAACTCATGCGATCGAATAACTAGTTTTACCGGAGACCCTGAAATAGCGCCGTTTAAAAGTGGTAACGAACCGATTAGGTATACTCAACGACGTTCCGTTCAGACGTATGACGTGCCTTCGGGGTCGGCCCATGTACGACCGTGTGATGATGCCTGATAATGTCATCATTGGACGTCACAATGTGACACCACGATTCATGATGATTTTTTGAAACACTCGTTGACACCAACCGTCCCTTTTGGTTTAGCATGAGGCATATATAACATTCACATATATTTATATAGCTAAAGCTGATCGCCGCAAAATTTAAAAGCCCCTCCACGCAACGAACAGATGGACGGAGACGACATAGAGGGAAAAAACATTTCGAGGAAAAAAAAAGAACTGGAACAAGGATGTCGGACGTATTATATTTGGTCTTTTGTATTGGCGACATTCAAATTGAGAAATTTCCAATTCAAATCTTTTCAAGAACGTTACCTTCGGATATGTCGCACGGATCTCGTCTTTCATTCATCAATGACGAGCGAAATGTTGAAGTTACTCAACGTCACCGCCCTACTACCCTATGCTGGCCGAAAAAAATTGAAATTATTCATTAAGTGTCGCAATAAAACTTCGTCCTCACTGCGTGAAGAAAGCCTAATTGACTCTGCATGCATATTCCTTAATTGTTCTCTCTTTATTCAGGGCAATTACTCTGCAGTTGACAACCCTGCTGGAAAGGTGAAGCTGTGTGATAACTGATAAACAACAATGCCAACTGCAATCGTACGCAGGCCGAACAGCGTGATATAGTTCTTGCTGTGGGCGCACAACCAGCCGGTAGGATAAATAAATATCCCACACTTCCGGCAAGGCTCTCGAAACTTTGCACGAGATGTATACTGCCCGTAAAATCGAGCACGGAAATCAAGATATCCCACTAGCCTACGTTGTGTGGACATCTCGACTTGCATCTCTCTCTGGCAAAGAGCGCGTTCATGAGACAGCCCGATGCCTCGCCCTCCAGGCCCCAGTGGAAGGTCAGCCAAACCCAAGAAAGGCGGAAACCACACCAGTGACACACACATACACTTACTATATTATCGAGAACTAACAGACAGTTATGTCAAAGAAAGCATAGGGGAATTGATTTGTTGTGATTCGTACGCGGAAAGTTAAGGAGCACTAGAATCATCGCACGCACTGACGCGCGTGAGGGTTTGTCACATGGTTTTTTTTTAAATTTCGCGGGCATTTGTAATCAGCAAAAAAAAAAACACTTATACTTAACAGATATAAAGTTCAAAACTATCTATTGGGACATTTTGCAATCGATCTGCAACTTTCTCATTGAAATTTTTTATCCATCTTCGTTCCTTCAAAAGTTAACTAATTAAACAGATTTAATGAAAGAGTATTTCAGAACTTAAAAAAATTAGTCTGACTAATTCCAGGCAATGGTGAGCAACATACATTTGATCGCATCGTAATTGCGTGTGCCGGCATACTTTTAAACTCAGGCTAAGGTTACCTGGCACACCCTGTATATATGTTCATTCAAATGTAGGAGTGTTCACCAGGGCTGCTGGTGACCGTGACGACAAGTGTGGATACTGATTTGTCCGCTGCGTCACGTAGCTTGTGACACGTAATGTTTACCACGCGTCTTCAGTATGCCTATTGCCTCACTTCGCGTCACATGGCATGCTCCGCGGTCAGAACTTCGTAATCACGGTTACCATGGTTGTCCGTAAAGCCACGTGAAATAAGAACAGCAGAGCCACATTATCATACTTTTTTATGCGAGTGGCTGTGGAAGACGCGAGTAATTGATTTGCCTACCCAACATGTTCGCAATGGCCCGTAACTGGCGCACGCTGCTTTGTAGGACATCTATGGAATTCGGCATCCCTCATGAATGTCGGCAGTGGGGTGCAAAAGGGGCAATCGCCCCTCTGAAGCCTCACCGGTTTCAGAGGGGCCCGCACCCAGGCTACACCAGTGCTCTCCCCCCTCTCCCAGCCTGTTAACACCCCCCCCCCCCAATAAAACTTTTGCTGCCATCGTTGCTGACGACCATGGTGGCACTGAACCGTTGTTTTATTCAGTCCAGTTCAGTTAATTTATGTTGAGGGCATCCAGAAGAAGACATTACATAAGGGGTGGGTTAACAATCTTTGAGTCCTTTACGTCCGTGGCAATTTACAACGAAAAAGTTAGTTTCGATTGCGGTGTTTATTCTTAGCTCGTGGAGCTGTCGTCTCTTTTTTTTCGTCATAGTTCGAGCATATCATGGCGGTTCCGGGGTGCTTCCAACTCACCGAAGGAAATTCATAGCTATCTTTCATAGTATTGAATGCGTGAACACGCGCAATATTAAGCCCGCTCGCAACTGCGCAATCGCTAGCTGCATCTGCAAGGTTCCACAGCCAACCTTCCAACGAAATTGAATGTTGCACCACATCAGCCAATACTAATCCGACAGGTGACACTACGCATCTTGCGTGACTTCAGAGTCTGACGTCTGTGTGTATGCATTCAACGCGTGAGCCCGGACAGTTCTTTTTTTTCTTTTTTTGCAGTTTTCGTTGTCCCATACCTTGGCATCTGGTGACCTTGCCGACGTGGAGTTCTGGGTTGAGTCCACCCACTTCCCAGGCCAGTCGGCTTCTTTTAAGGCTCACAAAGTGATCGTGGCTTTACAAAATGACGTGTTTAAGGCCATGTTCTACGGCGACTTCGCCAAGGAGGACCGCGTAGTAATCACCGACTTGCATCCAGAGGGCGTCCGTGGCCTCTTGCGGTAAGGATTCCGTTTTCCTGGACCTTTTCTGTATTCGTGAAATTCCTTGAATATTTTACAGTCCCTTGTTCTAAAATTTGTACGAAACATGGACAGGCTATGGAAATAGGTGACCGAAGCCGTTGTTTATTAACTGAAAACAGCAATGTTCTCAAATAAATAGAAGTTTTTTTTTTCAACTTACATCAAGAACAGGCTGATTAAGCTGATGCTCGTATATTGCAGAATATACATTGTGCTTTATTTGCTTTCATCTGCCATGAAATTGCAATTTTCGAAGCTGGGATGTTCTCAGAATTACTGAGGTATAGGCGCCCATTCTATCATTTTTTTAGCATGGTAATCATACCGGTGGCTCAACGAGTCATTAATTCAGCATCCCACGAATATTGCTCTCTTACATAGCGACAGCAAACATGCCAAAAAGACAGTATTATACCGGATTTCAATTTTTTTATACATCTATCCAATTGGTTTGTTCAGTACGTGTTTTGATGCCGCGTACAGTTGAAACTTGATTTAACGGAGTGATGACACGTTCGAATTGCTTCATTAGATCGGGAAATTTCCAAAACTCAGAGCGTCTTTTCGGTCCGTCTAAATCTGATATTGTAGCGAATATCTCGAAAGCTATTGCGCCATTTCGTTTGTCCCTAACACTCGCCCGCATGGTAAAAAATCCTAGAGGTAGCCCGTACATTAAGTCTTCTGCATCGCCTGAACGTGAGCTGCCCGGTTTTGTGTGATATTGGCAATGTAGACTGTCACGTGAAGCCATGACAAGCTGCCGATATTGAAGGACTGGTAGAATGAATGCAATTATTGTGCAAGAAGGCAGATCAAGACTGATTTAAGCATATGGTCAACGCCATCTCTCGCATGAATCAACATATAACGAGAGCAATTAACCGCATTACTCATGTGTGTACAATTATCGTGATAACAAACCGTGACCGCCCCTAATATAGGTTGGTGCGTAGTAGCAATACCTAGTGGTTGCGCGTAAGAGTGCTACCTACAGCCGCACGGTGAGGTGCCGAGGCTATCAGCGGGGGCCTTCGAGATTAGCTCAGCCAATACGTCGTTGCCGGTTGGCTAGCCTACGTAGCTATCTAATCGTCAACTTCAACTGAAGTTATTCTGAAGTTCAACTGAAGATGAAATAAGATGGTCAATGTTCGTCCGTTTTCTTGCCACGCAGGTACTTCTACAGTGGATGTCTTGAAGTAGGTACAGTGCATCAGGCCGCCTGTACCCGTACTGCTGCTGCCAAGTACCTCGTGCCACAGCTGGAGCAGCGATGCCTCAAATTTATCAATAGCAGCATGGCCCCCAATGACGTGTGCCCCTTCCTAGACTACATTATGACCGTCGGCGAAGACGCCTTAACTCCTGCAACCATAGCGATCGTAAAGGACAGCCCCAAGGTTCTCTCGTCTAGGGCGTTTAAGTCTTGCACCGAAGCTACAATCAAATATGTTCTCAAACACGTTACTAATGTAGCCGAAACTTTGGTGCTGAGAGCTGTGTACGCTTGGGGGTGGCAGTGCTTGACGCGTGGGAAGGAATCTTGCACAACCGAGCGCCCTAAACTTGGCGACCACGAAAAGGAAGAGTTTAGAGCTGCCCTTGAACCACTGTTTCCCGAGCTGCGGTTCCTTGCACTGACACCGCAAGAGTTCGTTGAAGGCCCCAACGCTTGGGGGGTCTTGACCGATGCGGAAGCACGGGCCATTGTGAGCAATATTCTGAAAGCAGGTTCCATGCCCATGCCAGCTGGATTCTGCAAGATTCGAGAGGCCCGAGCGTAGCCTTGCACACTAGTCTTCACTCGAGATATTCCGATTGGTGCTTTCCAACCAGCCTGTAGACAACAGTGTTGGGGTCACCACGTTGCGCTGCATTAAACCAGACTTCAAGAGGGAAACATTTTATAGGATGGCAATGGCCGTGCCTTCAAACATTCTGGCAAATGAGCAATACTTTTTTTCTAATGCGTCGTAGCCACTACGCCTACATTCCTGCTGATAGGGGCATCCCACAACATACATATAGCATGCTTCCTCGCAAAACGTCAGTGTCTGCATTGCTTCCATATGATTACTGTGTTCTGTTAACTGTCACGTGTTCAAGTCACACCAAATATTTTCTACGCGAATTAAGCCGAGTTCTTTGAAAGTTTGTTTTCCCAATTATCTTACACGGTGCATCATTGTGTCTTGAATACACAGCCGTCAGACACCACACGTAAATGTGGCTGTCCAGCAAAGACCTTCCTTATCGAATCTTGACGTAAAAGGCTTCGTCGCAGAAGTTTGGTTAGTCTTGTTGCTTTTTTTCCAGAGTGCATTGTCTGCGTCTCCTGAACATTCTCAGCTTTGAACAGGTGGACATGCTCATGATTTAAGCCAGATGACACCTTTGTCTGAGTGCAATCTCGTTTTAGCTTTCTTGCCTACTATTTGGTATTTTATTTGCTGTTTGCGTTTACCGTGTCACCTCCCAGCGGAGGTACAGCGTGCATTTGAGTTGGGAGTTTTCATATATCCAAAATATTCTTATTTAATATTTGCAGTTTTAGAGATCGCCAGATTTTGTCATTACGTAAAAAGTTTCATTCAAATCAAGCCGTATTCGTTTTCATGTTTTTCCCCCTCTTGTTTACATACGTTTGTCGAATCATGTGCCTTTAAGCAAATATGCAAGCTGCAGTTCCACCTTCAATGTCAAGAAGTCCTCGCATTTCAAAATGTTTCGTTTGTTAGTATAATACCACATATATACTCTAGTTGCACATTCAAAACAATGGTACTCAGTTTGTGTATTCCCATAGCATCGAAATTTCGAAATTAAGGCTGTAAATAAAATTGCCGGGAAGGTCACCTGACAATTTAGTTAAAAAGAGAAGAAGTATACTTGTATACTTGTATCGAGCTCTTCTGATATAGAGCCAACTGTATGTACATGGTGCTTTTTGCGGCACAAGAAGGCCGTAAACGTCCGTTGAATAAACACATACGCTTCTCAAATCTTGTATAGTTATGTTTCATAAGCTGGTTAACACTATTCTGGTAATATTAGTTCCGCATCCTACCACAGCATACGCGTGGGCTACTAAGGATGCCAAAGTACAACTTTTCAGTAGTTAAATTAACAAATGATGATTGATTGATTTGTGTGGTTTAACACTCCAAAAGGTAAAAGAACTAAACCATATAGTCTCTTAAGTCGGCGACATCGTCAGGACAATAACGCTGATGAGATACGGTCAAGACAAGTTCTTTAAACTCGCAAAGACTCATCATTCACTCCGTAAATATGTTAGTGGTATGCTATTAAAACAATGTTAGTGAAATCCATCTTGGCGAGCCTCATATCGCGGAGCGGGTCGCTCCCACTTAGAGACCAGAGAGTCAAGCCCCACGGCCGCATCATGGGCCTGCTTGCTGGACAACCCAAAGTTGTGGCTGAAAAAAATAGTTTTAAATGGTCTTGTGTCTTCGCCATGCTTTCTTGTCCGCCTTCAAAATCATTGAGTGGTATGTTCTGTTCAAACCAACAGCCCTCGTGTCACCTGGGGAGCTATTTTGAATCTATTCGACCATTCCAGCGACTATAGGTGACATGACGGTAGGTCGAAATGGCGGACGAGACGGTGGTGAAGCAAAGTTCGTCAGGCCCTCTAGTTTCGCTGCAGATCACACTCTCTCCCGCTAAACAGAGTCATAGATGCTTGAATGAAAACACAATCGAGTTCAAGCTAAATCGAGTGCTTTCGACATTCTTGAATCTGATTCATGAAACAGCCTCCGAGATCCGCTCTTGTTCCCACAGATCTCGGAGAGCTACGTTTGCCGCATTCAAGCTCGGTGCATAGTGAGAGTTGTAGAAGCTCCGTCGTGTCGAAACCCATGTGAAAGTGAGGAATATGGATATGGAGTGCGTCATGCATATATATGAAACTGAGGCCGGAGCATCTCGGCAAGCATCTAAGGCTGGTGTAAGAAGGAGAGGCCAGTCTCCTACACGGCTACTTACGCAGGTCCTAACGCGCCAGCCCGTGCCACGCCCTCAGGATATTACGTTTTGCTTCATCGCGCGTCTGCAGAATCTCGTTCCCCGATGTCATCACATGGTTGCTGAGAAAGTAAGGGGGAGGAGCCACAGTATCTTACCAAGCCCTTTGAGCAGGCCGGAAGCCCGGAACGCGCTAGCGAGTGAGCACGTTCTGGCAGGGCTTGGGCCAGCTGCTGCGCATGCGCAGTATGGGTGGTCACGCCGCACACCGGATTGAACTTTGACATAAGATGCTTCTCATTTAAAACACCCGTTTCACGAGCCGCGCTTACCTCGTCTTTCCGAGGGAGATGCGAATAGCATGACGAGCCCACACATGGCCACCTAAGCTACTCACGAACAACAGGAACTGCCTACGCGAGACCCTAAGCCAAGCTTGTGTAATAGCGCAATTGTTGATCTGCCACATCGTTTTGTGTCATCTTGCTCCCTGTATACTGTTAACAGGCGGAGGGACAGAGTCCACTGTGCTGTTTATAAACGGAGTTTCAGGGGCGAAGCTCCTTACACTGCGGCTCAGTCTTTCTCCTCCGTTGTCCACACGACCCCGTCCGTCTGTCCGTTATCGTAGATAGAAAGACGGACGGATGGATGGATGGATGCGTTGGAGAGGCGTGCCCTAGAGGTGGCGGTGAAAAACGAACACAAAAGTGAATCCTGACTTGAGAGCCCGCGAAGCTTCGCCGCACTCATCATTCACTCCGTAAATATGCTGTGAATTTTTGGGCTAAGTAACACTAGGCTTCGAAACACAACTGCTTACCATCCGCAGAGCAACGGATTTACCCAGCGACCAAACAAGAGTCGCAAGCAAGATCCCCATGCTTACATCAACATGATCTCACAGAACAAACAAGGTCGCCAATTACAGTGGGTGTCTTACGGCCTCTGTGCGCACGCCTACTTGTGCCCCTGCCCATCCCCTGACTCTGTATACACGTTGGGCTTTCGGTTAACTCGGGTGTTCTGCGACAGCGTCAATTATACGTAGAATATCTGCCACCGAACGCAAGAACGATGCAGACTCATTTGCTTCATGTACTTAGTTTAAAGCTATAGATTAGGCCAGCGCTTCGCGCTTCTGCAATGGTTATACGGTGCTCGCCTGCTGAACCGAAGGACGCGTGGTGTTTGTAAATAGATGGGGATAAAATGGTAGGTTCCCGTGTGCTTAGACATAGGTGCCCTCTATGAGGCTTTTAGCCAGAGGGGGGGGGGGGGGGAGTACACCCTGCCCGAAATTCGGATGGGGAAAGGGGGGCGGGCGGGTTACTGAAGAAAAATAAAAGTTGGTGTTTTTCAGGGCCTTCAGCAAGTGCCCCCCCCCCCCCCCACTCCCAGGAAAAAAAAATCCTGGCTATGGGCCTGCCTCAACTGCTACGTTGTTCATAATTATAGTGTTGGTTTAGGATGTAAATTCCGGAACAAAATGGTTGTATTTGCAAACCATTTGTTACGAGGTGTCTGATACGTATACCGTGCTTGCGTTCAGATGAATGCGACGAACAGCGCATCGCATCTCATCGCGTGAGCTTTCTCGCGCATCCCATCCACGTGTACGGGAGTAATGTGCCAAGAAGGCGTACTTCACTAATGCGCTAGCTAGGAAGGTGTCGATTATGAGAGAGAGGCAACTCAACGCGGAGTTCATCAATCGCGAGAAGTGAAATGCCCCCCCCCCCCCCCCCCCCCGTCGTGATGGCCTTGAGCGGACACCTCCGAAACCCTATATGACAGCTATATACGGGGGAAGGAAAAGAGGGCTTCTCCGTAAGAGCAGGGCACTACACATAAATCGCGTCGCACATAATTACTTGTGATGCGCTGTAGAAAAGGTTCGTCGATCCATGCGCAACACTAGACAGGGACCAAGCGATTGAAATAACGCGTGCGCTAAGCCCCAACTTGTTCATTCGAAGCAGGAACTATACCATGTCTCGTCGCAAGTAAGCCAAGTGGTAACTAAGCATGTGGTTGTGATGAGGTGCCGTGATCCGCATTGTTTCAACTGTCGTTCCTGCTTCTAAGAAACCATGGGAAGTTTGCGCTCGCGTTATTTCGATCACTTCATTCCTGCATATAGTCGAATTCAACTTAAGGGGGCATGTATAGTAGCACGAACCCCCCCCTTCCCCCCCCCCCCCAAAAAAAATATCCAATTTGTAATTGTGACACCGAAAAATCTATTGCAATATGAGAAATAATTGTCCCCGTATCTACATGATACACTGCAAATGTCGTCGAAAGACAATAGTCTCGCGTCTGGAGAGAGTGAACAAAACGTTCATTTGATGTTCTGCGCAAGAAAATCGGTGAATGGTATTCCGGAGGCGCTGCGTTAGAGTGCCTCGAGCGTGCAGCGGAGGCGAACGAGGACATCAAGTCACGTCACACGTGAGATATGAGCGCTATCTGGCAGTTATCCTGGCAAACGGAGAGCGCGGCGTGCGCGCCCGTCTATGAGGTGATAAGGTGTAGATCGCAAGGCGAGAGGTAGGTGCCATGCACCACCGTGTCGTCTTAGCAAAACGTCGGGAAAGACTTTCATTTTCGTGTAAGCGTTGCATGGTCAGCGCAGCGTGGCAAACGCTATGGTCCTTAGAATCACTTATGTATGCCTTTTCTAGTAAAACATACACATACAAAACATTACAACCTTTCAGCCTCAATATTGCACGAATAATACAAGAGCAATCGCTTGTGCGGTGTTCTGCAAAGCTCAAACTGCACTGTGAAAGACGCCATTAGCGTGCTTGGTTTTCTTTTCGGCCGACGACGGAAAAAAAACAATGGGTTATTAAGCCATACATCGTGAAAATTGTCAATATATTGTGGTTACCAGCGAGCACTTGAAATCTGGTGACTTCTGGGATGAAACAGAATTGTTTAGATTTTATTCACGAAAACCATGACATGATGAGACACGCTGTACCATGGACCCCGGGATTCATTTTCACCACTTGGGGTTCCTTAAAGTGCTATAAATCGAAGCCTACGGTCGTTCTTTCACATTTAGCCCTTTCGAAATACAGCTGCCATGGCCGGCAATCGAGTCCACCGAACTCAGCAGCATGGTAATTCACGGTACCATGCTGCTGGTCACGGTGTCAAGTACACCCTCCACGGTACACTATAATAAAGACACTCGGCTGCAGACCCGCAAGTAGGAGGATCGAAGTCCGGCCGCGGCGGCCGCATTTTCGATGGAGGCGAAAATGCTTTAGGCCAGTGTCATGTGCTTAGATTTCGGTACACGCTAAAGATTACCAGGTGGTCGAAATTGCCGGACCCTTACACTACGGCGTCTCTTATGATCTTGTGTCGGTTCTGGGACGTTCAACACCAACTATTATCATTATCAATCCTGAGACAAACAGTTGAGTGTTCGTGCTTTTTGCTGGGTCTACAATGACACGGTTAATACAACTATGCTTTAGTGAGCAAGAAAACACTCGAACACAGCTCGCCGCAACTGACACATGTGAGCAGCGCCTGGCAGACACCACCGCCGTCTACGATCGAGTGCAAGCCTGTCCAGGAGTCTCAAATTTCAGCAACGATATATATATTTCTAGTCTTATGCCTGCGTCTAGATAGGCAAGCAGCTTTTTTCCACAACGTCAGTGTGAAGATCGTAGCAAAGAAAGCCGGTAGGCCGATATGGCCTGCAGTGTCGCATGTTTACCTGCGAAATGCTCAAGAATCACGGTTCCCGATCTCGCTCGTAGCTTGTGGGCCGGCGCTGTTTTGAATAGGTGACATACTGGAGCATCACTTTATTAGATTAAGCATCAGTTTGTTTGATGAAACAATTGTAACCCATCTTCGCTGGCATGAAACCAGCTCCCCCGGTCAAAATGATCGGAGTGGTCAAGAAACGACCGGCAGCACAAGCGGCCCTACGTCACCTGTCTCCAGTGTTGTTTGCTGTTGCCGATATACGGCCTCGCGATCGCCGGACCAAGTGGAGATCCGCTCGCAGGATTTCAAGCTGGACGGTTGTGCCCTCGCGATCTCCGACGCCAGCGTAGCTCCCGCCGACTGGTTCGCCCTCCGCGGTCTCCTGACACCGTGCAGCTCTCGCATTGTGGCGCCCCGCCCTTGGACTGCTTCGACCGGATCCCCACTTTCCTATCTCCTTCTTTTTTTCCGTCGCTTGCCTGTCTATTTCTTCATCTATTTTCCTTCTATTCTTTTTATCCCTCCTTCCCCCCACCCCTATAAAGCACTGCGCCGTGTCGCCTGAAGGCAGACAGAAATTAGGTGCCTTTTTCCTCTTCTTTCTAACCACTACCGCCACCACCAAGTGGATGACAAAAATCTGCTGAGTCAGACGCACGCTGCATGCCCGTTACGGCAATGCAGTGTGACGGAACGTCACCAAACCGGCTGCTATCCGAGCACGTCGGACGTCAAATTTGGTGACAGATCATAGCGCGTGACCTACACTTCATGCACTCTAGCATGAGCTGTTTAGTGAGAATTTAAATGCCACGGAAAATTATCCTAATCGAAAGCGGCGGCAAACCTCGCTGAGAGGAAACCCGTGACGAAGGTTCCGCGCAGGCAGAGGATCACCGCATCGACACCCATTTTGATTTTCTTGTGGCGCCCTCAATCGTCACTGAAAGCTGCAAATAGGAAGGATAAACAATGTAAGCATAAAAAAGGTGCCACCTGATAAGCAGTGGCATTCTATGTGAGCCCGTCGAACTTTATGAAAATACGTGTAGCAGTTTCTAAAATATTACGTGAAAACTGACATATACCACTTACCCTACGACACCCCTTTAAGCCTGTCAGGAAAGCCCGCCCATATGACCGAAGCGCGGTAGCCGATCACCTCAGCGACTAAAAAAATAGTCCCACTCTTGCTCTCGGCAAAGTTCTATGCAGGCGGGATCAACAGCCGGCGCCCTCATGACGCCAGTCTTGAGTACACGCCCCATTGGTGCAGGCTTGTATGCATCCTCCTTTGAGGAGGGAATGCTGCTAACATTAAAGTTGTAACCGGCTATAGTTTGGAGCACTAAATGATGAATATAGACTAACCCGCCCAACTTACAGTTCCTTTACTAGGAAAGGTGAGGTGCTGCTGTTGTCTCGTGTCGCGTTCGTGTAAGTTTTGAGCCACTATATATAGTGTAAGTGAGGCATTATTTGCAGCACCGTGCACTGCATGGAACTGGCAAGATGGAGTAAAGCACTGTCAAGTTTGTAAGGCAAATCGAAATTCGGTTCCAGCTTTCTAAGAACAATGCGCATCCCGTGAAAGCGCGACACGTGTGAGTTCATGCGTCGTTGCGGTGCTTTTAGCTATTGTTAATCGCTGTCGTGTTTGCTTTCGAGGGCGAACAATCGTTTCGGCTTCCCTTTTGTGCAAGTGCTGTTTAGCAACGTTTTTTTTTTTTGTATAGTGCAGTGTCACTTGGGCTTGCGCCGTCGTGTAGACGCTGTAGTGTTTTAAGACTAGATGTAGTCTAATTATTCCAGGTTCGCATGCCGCTCGAAAATAGTAACAACGAAGATCCACGCTCCAGATGAGATCGTCCACATTTAGCACTTTCTTCGCAGTTTAGCAAGCACTGCATTGCTTCCCTCCTCAAACGTCACCAGGTGCGTTTTGCCTAAACGTCTAACGTGAGTGTGCGTGTCTGTTTCATGTGCTCTTTATGTGGCTTGTGCTAATGTCAATGACATCTCTCAACGGAAAACTTTCTGTGACGATGGTTAATGATAGCGTGTGCGACGCACGACTGATTTTGCCGAAAAAAAAAAAAGCGTGTAACTTAATGCACTCTGTTTTTAGAAACTTTGCTCTGCAGAGCACGATGCAGGGTCGAGCAAGAATCATAAAACCAAATATTTCAGTACATTTTATCGCCGTTAAGCTACAAGGCAGATCAATACGGATTCTTCAGAATGAAAGCTTCGCGAGTGGCGTAAACAAAGCCACGTGTCCAAATCCTGCACAAGCTTCTTTTTTGTTTGCTCATTAAGTTTTGTGAAAAATTCATACGGATTTACTTTGTACCTATGCGCAGCCTAAGGGTGCATTGTCATTTATAGGCGTTTCATGTTGTCTTTACATTAGAGACAACGGCAATACATCGTAGGAGCATTCATACTGTATTTTGTCGCAGATAATCTGCGCAAGAAATGCGCAAAAATGTACTCACAAAGTGACGGGGCGGGTTTTATGCAGGAATATGCTATCCAGGGACGTAGCAGGAATGTTTTTCGGGAGAAGGGGCACCCCCTTGAAAAGGTCATTTTTCCCCTGCATATTACACAAGAAAAACAAAAATAACATTTTTTGTGGGAGGGAGGGGAGGGGGGTACGGGTCAGGTGTGTTACGCCCTGGCTACACCATTGAAGAAAACTTTGTTTTCTTGTGACTTTTTTTTTTGTAGAGGTGATCCTAAGCGTGCTCAGTATATATCAATAAGGGCTGCTGGTATTCGATGAAATGCAGTATTTCTTACTAATATATCTGCTGCGCATAGGACATTTTGTACTCGAGGTTAGAAACTCTGTTTTTCAGCACTTTGAGACAGTGGAAACAAGTGCGCGGAGTTATGGATGACGAATGTATGCACATGCTGTAAGACCCGTAGACGAAGTGCCCGAAAATAAAGTTGTACAAGAAAAGTTAAACGATTGTTAAGCAGTACTGCCTACCAGCAGAACACAAAGCTGATAACGTCAACACAGAAAGAGTGAGCAATAAAACAATTACGCATGAGTGCACTCAAAGACCAGATTGTATAATTACGAAAGAAATGTGGGTGATATATATAGATGCGGTGTGCTAACGCTATATTGTAGCCTTCTTCGGTTTTGTAAGTAACTGAAGTGAGCTTATGATGCCGTGCTTTCTTTGTAAGCTGTACATCAACTCAACAGGCGATAGGCCTAAACATTGGTTCAGCTAAACGAACATTCCTTATTAGCTGTAAATAAATTCAAATGGCTCAAAAAGATTGGTCCTTTGAAGTTTAAATGACTGAAATACTGCGTAGGCTTCAGAGCGCGCACTCAATAAAACAGGACGAGATGAAAGAAAAGCAATCGCCATATGTAGAAATTACACTCGACCTTAACATTGGCAAGTCGTTATAAAACAATGCCGCCCGCTAGTGCTACGTTATAAGCCAAACGTTTCGTCATGCATTTGTTTGCGTACGCGTATTCACTACAATTAAAAGAAATCAACGTGATAAGAAGAAAAGGTATATATATATATATATATATATATATATATATATATATATATATATATATATATATATATATATATATACACTATTGTTTGGCTCAACAATGCATAAGAAAAAAAACTGTTCGCAGCTTTCTCTCGCCAGAGTTCCTGTACTTGGTGAATCATTGGACAATGGGACCGTAACAAAGCATCGAAGTGCGTCACGCATGGCCAGGTTTATCTACACGTTACAGTATAAAGGGGTACTGACCAGAAAACTTTCACTTCTTTTGAGTCAAATGAAAGGTCAATTTCCGAAGAGAGATAGAAAGTGTACTGGCAAGCGTGCGTGCCCCTTGAACAAATTGCGTAGTGTCCCGTCGTTTCTTTAATGTCTCTTTTTTTTTTTTCGCGAGGTTTCACCACCAACAAGCCCATTCTTACATCCTTAAAAGCTAGTTTCGGTTCCTACTGCTTTCTGACGTCACAACACGGTATGAGCTTCTATTAATGTGCTAGCGCAAGATATCGCGACGCTTGCAAGCATGCTCAACTGTGCGGATTTGTTAGTTACGCATGATAGGCTATTCTGAATGTTTTTGGCGTCGCGCAAGCGGCCGTCTTGTATGTTTCAATACCGGACGTTATCACAACTAGCCTTGTGCGTAAAGTCACCAGAACTGTGGCCTGACTCCACGGCGTCGCTTATGTGGATATTAGTAGATGTGCCGTGCAAAAACAAACTTAGTAACAAAATAAAGCAACAGCATTTATTGAGCCTCTCACTTGCTCAGGGCTATCTCTGCTACAGGAGATTTCTATGACGGAGCTTCGACGGCTGATGTCAGTACCCATCGAAGGAGTATTGACACGATCTGAAGACACCGTGAAAGGGACATTTTTCGTCTCCTTGGATGCAGTATCAACACTCCTCACATCAGGGTCAGGTAACACGTATAAAATATTTTATTTTGACTTTATATTTTTTATCGCTGAGCACCCGCAAGCCAGTTCCACTGCGACGGGCATTATCCTGACCAGTGAAAGCACGCAGTTCCTGATATTGCAGGCTCTACGTACTGCACGCAGCGAAAATTGTAGGAGCCACTGTCAGAGTGAGCGGACAACCATTCACTCGTGGTTATTTATGTGCACTACGAGCAGATAACGGTTGCTGTCTCGCCGTGACGTCACATCGTTTTGACACGTCACGCAGCAGCCATCGCTCAATACCGAAACCGGAGGTGTCTCTTTAAGGTAGCGGTAATAAAAGTACATTCGATGCGTTTCCGAGCACCACAATGTTCGTTTTGGTTATTCCAAACCAGTGCATTCGTCTCGAGGGATAATCGGAAGATGTTTGAAGTTCGTGTCAGTTTTCTTTTAAACCAAACGGAAAATCTTTCTGCGTCGTACCATCAATTCCTATTTGGCTTCCATGCGTTTTCTATCTCGAAAACTCGTTACCTTGCTTCAAGAGTGCTATGTTAGGCCCTCTTATGAAAAATGGAATAAGAAAGAGCGTGCCAGTGTCCCGACAACAATTATCGACATATAGCTGGCTTGCATTTCGTATCGTTAAAACTCGGCGCTCGTCACTTTCCTGCTTTCTCATGTAGCAAGCTGGCTGGGCGTGACCCGAAAAAGCCTAGCGCGTGGCGACAATGCAAGCGAACGCCTGTAACTGGATAAATGTGGAGAACTGTGGGACAAAAGGACACCTTTTCTCACTCGCTTTTTTAATTATTATTATGAAAGTCGCAACCAAATCAAGGTGAGACATACGAAGAGCCGTGTTGTGTGGCACATGAACACCGCAAATATGCTTTTTGTGTTCTGTGGCTTAGTGAACCGATACGAATGTGTGCGCAGATAAAAAATACTTAGGGAAAATTATATACGTCGTATAATCAAGCTCCCACACGGTAGCAGGTTGCGTGCGAAATCTTAGGGCTTACTCCTCCTAACATGAAAGTCTCTGGGATATCTGTCCAGCTCTTTTACCTTGAGGGGCCTAAGACCCAAATGGTGGGGAGTCTGGGGGCGTGAGGTCTCCACCCATAACCATCCAAAGGGGATGCAGCCCGCCAATTCTTTTAATCAGTTGGACCTGCCACGCGGTTTTTTTTTTTTTTTGAAGAGCAGGCTTATATCCACGTAGGTTTTCAGGTGTGATGCACCTTAGGATCTTGCCTTGTCGACATCCAATGTTCTCGCGGTGTGTCATAGAGTCACGGCCCATCATGAAAACGGCAATGCGCCACGAAAATTCTGTTGATCTCTCTACTCACGGTCCACTTGAAATGAAGAAAAACAGCAGTTAGACCAACAAAAAAGCAGACGATGTTAGTGGAGCTGCAACACACTTCTCTGCATGCCATAGGGAACAATGGCGGAGCCAGGAAATTGCAACCGCCCCCCCCTCCCCGCCCTCCTCCTCACAAAAATTTTCCCGCCATGCAACATAATGCAAAATGACCCTGCCTGGCCCTCACTTGAGATCAAAGAGGTGCCCCCTGCACCCGAAAAAAAAAAACAAATTTTCGGCATACAACCATGGTAGGGAACAGAAACCGGGCCCAAAGGGAGACGTAGTGCCTCAGAGTAAGCTGCATTCCGGCAAACTTAGTAACGCGGAAACGCCCTCATTCACAAATGCCCAGTTTCAGTATCGGTACCACTAATGCCTCATCAATGTATTGTTATCTTCCCTCTTCTCTCTCTTTCTCGTCCATCTATTCACCTTCCCTAATTTCCTATTGAAGGGTAGCCAACCGGAAGTATTTCAAGTTAACCTCCCTGCCTCCTCCCTTTCTGTTTACTTCATTCCTTCTCAGAACATTGCGCGCTTCTTCGCCTCTTCCCTGTGCACCACGTAATTGCGACGGAAGGGCCCTGATGTTGAATTCAAATAACTGTGCACGTGTCACAGTCCCGGCAAGCCAGGGAGCAGGGAAGGCTATTTGTCAGAAGTACGTTAGTACTGACTTTTTTTTTTTATTCATCGCAAAGCATGTCTTTCAGACTCGGATCAAACAAGGAGTGGAAGGAGGGTGGCGGCGCTGAAAGTCTGATTACCCCCCCCCCCCCTTCCAATGGGAGGCCCTGCGCACGATTATGGTGAAGCCAGTGATATTCGGCAGGTTTGGGTACATATAGCATAAACATTGCAATTTTGGCCACAACTTACTTTATGCGAGTTCTGTGTTGTAGTCTTCTCAGCACATTCATCATTTTTGACACCTGCACTTCAATTTGGCGACGCTGCTTCGATGTCGCTACATTCGCAGCAGTCACAAGACAAGCGCCAGGACGATGTTGATGGCGCACAAAGGATGCAGTGTCTCGCGGTGTTTTGCATTCGCCGCTGTTCTCTGCAGTGCCCTTAGGGTAAGCCGGCACTTGTACTGGTATCAATTCTGCCATTCCGTTCCCCCCCCCCTTTTTTTTTTACATCTTCAACGACGTTACTGCACGTTTTGCGATGTCTGCTACTGCCTGCGTAGATATCGGGGGCATTTCAGTAACTTTTAAATCGTTGGTTGCTTCAGAAAAGATTTATGGCGCTTGCTTTGTTGTTCACGGGGCCGAGATCTGTTGCCTTGTTCTTCAACTCATGATTTATAATGACGAAGAATCGCTTACTAGACAAGGGGCGACAGTGCAGCGCGCTAGACTGTACCGCGAACGCCAAAATGCGCATCATAATTGTTGTCGCAAAGCGGATGTTCTTATATGTTTCAGCAAATATATCAGCATGATTTACGTAATATAGAAGAGCCGAATGTTTTTTGAAACCCGTAAGTGCTACACTGAAAGGACTCGGTTTCACAAAGTACGTCGTATGTGGAGGACGCGTTCGCAAAGGTATAGCTGATAATGGTGTTGTAATGTGCACGCGAGTACTCAGACTTCTGTTCTTTTATCGCACTCCGACTTGATCAATTCGTTATCACCAAACGCTTGCGAGGTAAACCTATCGCTACACCCAAGTTTTCTCTATCTATGTTTTGTTGTTAGCACACACACAAAAAAATTAAGACTTCAGCAACAAAAGGCGAAAAGAATGCGACAAGCACTAGCCCTGGTTAAAAAACAAATCTTGGATGGTATACCGCGTCTCTCATAATCATATGGTGGTTTTGGGACGTTAAACCCCACAAATCAATCAATCAATTGGATGGTATACCGACCACCCCGAGCATGCACATTATATTCTGTATACAGTTAGAGTAGCGATCTGTCTTAGAATCTTTTCCCAGTTTAAATGTTTCCACCGCTAACCAAATGTACTATATAAAGGGTGCCCAAGCTGATTCTAGTCACAGTTAAGGCATTCAACGTCGTATCACGTGACATGCCTGCTTGCGCGCATAGCCACGCAAGAGGCGATGTCGCGTGTTGATTCTTCTTTATATTTTGCGAGCGTCGGTACTAAAGAGAAAAACACCGATGCTTCGTAGATTAAAAAAAAGGTCACCGGTTCGATGCTGGCTGATGTGGCCGCATTTGGATGGAAGCGAAGTGTTAGAGTCCCGGCTACTATGATATGTCAGTGCTCGTCAAAGAACACCAGATCGTCGACATTGCCGGATCACTCTCGTACGGCGTGTGTCATAATTACGCCTTAATTTTCCGACACACAACCTCAGATAGCATTGCTACTTAAGAAATGAAACGTTACAAACTATCTAATCGGGGCTTTTGCGAACGTATCTGCAGCTTACATATTCAAATTTCTTGTGCAGACTTGTGGCTTAAAAATTTGTGCCCAAGTAAGGAATCAGGCAGAACAAAAATAGTGTGACTAACTCCATGCAACACTCAGCAACACAGACTTGGGCGTGTAGTCATTGAGTGCGTCGGGATACTTTTCTTTTTGAAATCTGTTTACGGTTAACTGGCGCACATTTTGTTTTCCAAGATTTCCTACACCACACCATAAACTTTCAAACGCGTGGACTCATTTTACTAGTATAGGGTGGCATACCGATTATTTTGAGCTAACTGGCTTCTCCCAACTCCCATCTCTCCTGTCTCCTATTTTTCCTGCAAAGTCAACCCGTCGCTATGGTTACTATTGCACCCTGTCCATCTCTGTATACAGCAGTCACTTTCCGCGTACGTCATACCGGGAGGCTTCGTGCGGAGGCCCGTGTACAACATCGCCCACATGGTGAACACGATCGAGCAAGTGGACGAAGCCATGCGCCTGGGAGCCAACTCGATCGAAGTTGACGCCGCTTTCACCGCCAATGGCACCGCGACCTGGTTCCACCACGGCGTGCCGTGCGACTGCTTCAGGTGGTGCGACCGCCACGAAGAGATACCTGCCCTCCTGGACTACGTCCGGAGAACGACCTCCACGGGTAAGGAATGGCCGACGATCGTGAAGAGCTAAGTTAGTTTTTTTTTTTTCATTCAGATACCCTAAAGGCCCCGAAGGGCATTACATAGGGGGGGAGGGGGGAGAGAGCAATGTGTTGAGTACATTTCAATTCAAGAGCAAACACAGTCAAGAGCGGGCATGTAACAGAAAACGGTAGAAAAGCAAGCAAACAAACAAAAACTAAAAGAAAAGAAATACAAAGCAAGCGCACATAGTACATGGTTCATGGCTATGATAATAAAAATCGCTTCAAGTGGCTTACAAACAAATCGTGATTATGAATTGTGGCAATATCTTCTGGTAATCGATTCCAATAAAAGATGGCCAAGAACAACGGGGATTGACGAAGAAGATTAGTACGGACAAATAAGGGGAGGACTTTGAAAGGGTGATCTAGACGCGGAAAAATGCGATGGGCAGGTTTGATATGCGATGCAGCAAATGACGACGCACTATGATAGAGCTGGTGGAAGTGACATAGTAATGCTAGTATTCTTCGTTTTTCCAGGGAGGGCAGCTGTAGAGATTCTTTAATGGCAGTTATGCTAGATGTGCGGGAATAGTTCTTAGTAATAAGACGTGCTGCTTTATTTTGCAAGGCCTCCAGTCTGTTTGTTAAGTATGCCTGGTTTGGGTTCCAAATAATAGACGCGTAGTCGAGTTTGGATCGAACTAATGAAGTATAAGCTAAAAGCTTAGTTGAATGACTAGTTAAATACAAATTTCATCTGATGAAACCGAGTGTTTTACTTGCCTTGGAATTTATAGCATCAATGTGTTCATTCCACGTAAGGTTGGACGACAAATAGACACCCAGATATTTTAGCGTAGAAACGTTTTCGATAGCTGTGTTATTAATAGAATACGAATTTAGGTGCATGTTAGTAGACCTAGTAAATGTCATAGCTTTTGTTTTGAAAGCATTTATTTGTATTTGCCAATCCTCGCACCAGTTAACAATATTATCCAGGTTGGTCTGTAAAGTATTAGAATCTTCAGAGCTGTTAATTTTTCTGTAAATTACGCAATCGTCGGCGAATAACCGAACGTTAGAACTTAAGTTATTGTCTACGTCATTAATGTAAACCAAGAATAATATTGGTCCCAGTACAGAGCCCTGAGGCACTGCTGATTTGACTTCGGTTACGGGGGAATTGTGGTCATTTACGGAAACGTATTGATAGCGCTTGGTTAAAAATGCTGCAATCCAATTGAGTACGCTGCTGTTTATGTTAAGCCGGGCAAGTTTCATCATTAGTTCGATTTATTTATTGATAAGTAACTTGACAACGGCGAGCAGGACACGGACAGGGGACAGACAAGGAAAGCAGAACGAGTCACGTGAGACGGTAGCCGGTGCGGTTGCTGTGTCTGCTTTGTCAGTGCCCTGTTCACCGGAACCGAGTCGCAAACAGGAATGCATTTTTTTCTTGTTGTTTCGGGCTATGAACTCGTGCCCTTTTACTTTTTCGTAATATTATTATTGATTCATACCTGGTTTACTCAATCGAGTGGTATGGTTCGTTTAACCAGTGTTTAAATAGGTGTAATCCTTCAATTTTCGTCTTTATTGTTCATTGGTACTGTACTGACTTGTTTCATCGTTGTTTTTTTTCCCTCGCTATCCCTTTCTACTTTGTTCCGTGTTACATATAATCGTGCATGTGCCCCTCCCCTCTATAATAAACTGTATCTATTTTGAGGGTACTTCACTTAAAATAAATAAATAAATAAATAATGTAGCCACAATTAACATTGACAGGGAGATGCAAAAGGGAATGAGCTCTGAAAAGTGGGCTAGTTGGTATATTAGAAGAGTATAGCTTTGGGCCACTTGGTGATGCATACTTGGTGAAATGAAGTGCGATCAAAGTGACAACAAACGAAGAAATACACAGGGCGAAGCGTTTCGTGCCGTATGTTTCACTTTTTGTTGTATTGTTTATTGCGCTTCAATTAACTAAATAGTTGGTGCAGATTTCCAAAGGAACAATAAACAGTTGTTCTCGTGCGATTCCATCTCCAAGAAGAGCACCCCTGCCTCGTAACCGAAAACTACACAAATACTTGTCTCCCCCCCCCCCCCCCCTCTAAGCTGCACTAGCACTTCCTCTTCCCTAGCCGTGATGGAGCTACCAATCCTCTCTCTCCCCTAGGCGGAATACTGTCGACCATGATAACCGATCGTTTTGCATTGCCACGAAATATCGTCATGAAGGGGATCTTCGATCACCCACTTATATGGCGATTGGCTATGAATTATTTATCGTAAGCTTCTAGGTCATAGCGGAGACGTAAAGCATTCCTTTGAGGGGAGTGTGAGTATGAGTCTATTGAGGTCAGTGTAAACGAATTACACAGGGCATGGGTTTCAAACCCACCTGAGCGGGCGGGTCATGGTGCCTAAATAAATTCCCACCGGGGCCGGGGTAGGGATGTAGGTAGGACCTGAGGGAAGAGGTGTGGTTTATACAAAAAAAAAATTGCCCGCAGCTTCCCTCGGGGGAACACAGAGGAGGATGCGGACCATATAATTGGTTAACGGGGTGTTTAAAGTGCGACTTACTTGGGTCGATGGCTAAATTGGTTAACGTGGTTGTGAAATGGGGTGTTAAATTGCGACTTACTTGGGTCGATGGCTAAATTGGTTAACGTGGTTGTAGGAGGGGGTGTTAAATGAGTGAACACGTACACACGTATGCGAAAGGGCGGCGCTGGTCGAAGGGAGGTTGATCATTGTGTTTGTGGATTCGTTGGAATTCATTTCACCGCGACCTTGGACGTCGACGCGCCGTACAAACCAACCGACGAGCGGCAACTGAGCGAGCGAGCGCCGACCTTGAGCATATATACAGCACGACGGCGCATGCACTGTCAGCTGTTGAATGTTCTCGAAGCGCGACGCCACATGCGCGTCCACTGGAGAATCAGGAGAATTGTAGATGTCGAACGCGGTGTGTAGAGGAGGAAGGGTGCACAGATGGTGGAGGAGTGAAGCGCGCGCGGTGTGTAGAGGAGGAAGGGGATGCACAGATGGTGGAAGAGTGGGCGACGGCGCGACGGCGCATGCGCGCGCGTCAGCTGTCGAATGTTCGAGAAGCGGTGCGGACGGCGCGGACGGCGCGGACGGCGCACTACAAGGCGCGAGTATAAGATGCTCCGCATCTAATATTAGCTAACGTTGTCACTTCAAAGAAAGCATCTTCCATATCCCAAGCATGGGTCACTCCTGAAGGGGTTTCAGAAATATGTCCCCTTTTGAGACACATGTCGGTATACTGATCGACAGAGTGACTGAAATTTAGACACCGATGATGAAATAGAATCCTTGCTTCACGATTACCTGTTTTAACGCATGGTGACCGCACGGGATGCCTTACAGAAACAAAAAAACACAGCATATCCACGGAATGAATGATGATGAGTGGGACGAAGCGTCCATGAATCCGTCCGTGCGTCCGCCTGCACGTATGTGTGCCCGCTCGTGCGTTCGTTCGTGCGTCCGTCCGTGCGTCCGTGTGTCTGTCCATCTGCTTTTCTGTCTATCCATGCGTCCGTCCGTCCATCTAGTGAACACTTCAAGTACCGCCATCTCACTTCTTTTCCCCATATATTCATCATATACAAGTACTGCCATCCAGCGGACAATCTAAGGACTAAATGAGAGTATTTACCACACTTCTGCTGTCAGCGCTTTGTTAACACCGAGAGGGTGATAACGACGCCGGGCTACGTTTTTCGTAATATGTGGAGATGCAGATATGTGCCCGAGGGGGGTATGTGCCACGGGTATGCAGGTATATGCCGAAGGTTACCCAGTACGACAACGGCGGACGCACAAGTCACGCCATAAGGAGCTTCGCCCCTTAAAAATGGCTTCAGACGGAAACTCCGTCTGTGTATCTCATGAACACATTCACCAGAAGAAATAAACATAAGGCAAAGACAGTCATGAGCGGACTGGACCGCTAACGAAAGGTCCGTCCCTTGCAAAAATTGATTCACGACAGTCTATATGCTGCGTTTATATTTTTGAGAGGGGCGGGTCGTATACGTAGTGGCGTTAGATGCATCTTCCGTTGCTGCATCTGCACTTGCAGTTGCCACTGTGGAACACATTGTCGACGCATGACGGCGTTTGCATATATCGCACTCTACTCTGCGACGGCAGTCTCATATAAGGTGCCCCTTTGCGGTGGACTTGAAGCAACGACCATCATATGTGAGGAAGCTGCTTTTTTTCTGCTAGGCTAAGTCGGCTAGTCCACTCTTTGGTGATATGGTCATTTGCCGAAAAGAAAAACGCAGGAGGAGGAGGAGGAGGAGGAGAAAGGGAAGAAATGAAAGGCAGGGAGGTCAACCAGACGCACGTCCGGTTTGCTACCCTGCACTGGTGGAAGGGATGAGGGGATTAACGGAGAAGAGAGAGAGAAGGGCAACGTGTGTGTAGATGTGACCTTGTCCATTGCACGCTTAGAGGAGGTCGCGCTGTCCGGTCGTCTTTCGAAAACCAGCAATGCCCGCGTCGCTTTGCTGGCCTGCGACGCGTAGAGCCATGAACCAAGAATCTTCTCTTCGGAAAAAGGTCTACTGTCTAGTGTCTCTAACGTTTCGCGTAGCAAGTTGCGTTCGCCTCGCAAACGTTCACATGAACACAGTAGATGTTCTATTGTCTCGTCAGTGTCGCACGATTCACATCCGGAGCTATCCGCCATTCCTATGCGAAAGGAGTACGCCTTCGTAAAAGCTACTCCTAACCCAGGCGGCACAGTAAAGTTGCATCCTGTGGGAGAGGTCCGATAGAACTTGAAGCTTCCTTGATGGGTCCAATTTGCGTAGGCGGCGGTTCCCGACATTGGGGTCACTCAGCCAAGTTTCCGACATGGTGTTAGCGAACGAGTGAAGGCCCCTTGCACTGTCGGTTCTCGACAATGGAATTGGGGTTGTCTGGGCGTCCACGTGGGCGGATCGGGCAGCATT